AATGGTATCCGGCCTGAGTTCTTCCTTGGGATCCTCAAACATGCGCGAAAGGGCATCTGGCTTTGTGTTCTTCGAACCCGGCCTGTAGGTGATGTGGAAGGAAAAACGTGAGAAGAAAAGAGCCCACCTGGCTTGGCGTGGCCTTAAGCGTTTAGCTGTTCTCAGGTATTCGAGGTTCTTATGGTCAGTAAAAATCAAAATTGGGTGGGCCGCTCCTTCCAGCAGGTATCTCCACTCCTCCAGGGCGGTTTTGATGGCCAATAGTTCTCGATCCCCGATGTCATAGTTGCGTTCTGCCGGAGTGAGTTTCCTGGAGAAGAATGCCACTGGTTTCAACAATTCTTTTGGTCCTTTCCTCTGGGATAAAATTGATCCCACCGCGTTCTCGGATGCATCCACCTCTAGCACATAAGGTAGTGCAGTGTCCGGGTGACCCAGAATGGGGGCGGTGGTAAACAGTCATTTCAGGGTCTCGAATGCTTCCTGAGCCTCTGATGTCCATTTGAAGCGGGTCCCTGACTTAGTCAACTGCGTGATAGGGGAGACCAGACCTGAAAAATTCCTAATAAACTTCCTGTAGAAGTTGGCAAACCCAATAAACCGTTGGATGCCTTTTTTATCGGTTGGGATCGGCCATTCAAGGAATGCCGAGACCTTTTGGGGATCCATTGCGATCCCCACAGTGGAGATGATCAACCCCAGAAAGGAAATGCCCTGTTGCTCAAAACTACATTTATCGGCCTTGGCATATAGGCCGTGTAGGCGCAACCGCTCCAGAACCTTAATCACATGAACTCTATGGGTGTCTACTGATGGTGAAAATATCAAAATGTCATCCAGGTAAAGAATGACAAACATGTCCAGAAAGTCCCTAAAGACATCGTTCACAAAAAGCTGGAAGGTGGCCGGAGCATTGCAGAGCCCAAAAGGCATGACCAAATACTCAAAGTGGCCAAACCGAGTACGGAAGGCCGTCTTCCACTCGTCCCCTTCTCGGATGCGTACCAAGTTGTATGCCCCACGGAGATCCAACTTAGTGAAGCAAACTGCCGCCCTTAGGCTTTGAAAAAGTTCGGAGACCAGTGGTAGAGGGTAGCGTTTTTTAATTGTAACCCGATTCAGTTCCCGATAATCAACACAAGGCCTTAAAGTCTTATCTTTCTTCTCCACGAAGAAAATACCCCGCCCCTGCCGGTGAAGTGGAAGGACGAATAAATTTCTTCTGGAGATTCTCCTCAATATACTCTTTCAGTACCCCCAACTCCACCTCAGATAACGGGAATATGCGACCAAAAGGGATCTCGGATCCAGGCAATAAGTCAATGGGACAGTCATATGGTCGATGAGGGGGCAAAGTGTCGGCCCCACGTTTGCTAAATACATCCAGGTAATCATGGTATACCACTGGAACAACCTGTCTCAAGCTGGAATCCTCCTCTGCACATAGGAGGATTTGGGGGGGCCGGGGCCCGGAAGCATGACTGTTTTCCTGACAATAGGCCAAGGGAAAACTGAGGGACCCGGTTTCCCAGTTGATCTGAGGGTTGTGGGCTTGTAGCCACGGAAGCCCCAAGATCACTGGGAAAAGGGGTGACGCGATAGCATCAAAACGTAATAACTCCCGGTGAAGGCCCATGATGGTGGTGAGTATAGGGGGAGTTTCTTGGTCAACCACACCCAATTTAATCTGGGAACTGTCAGCCAGGAACAAATTAAGTCCCAATTTCCTGGCCTGTAAAGGTATTTCCTGCTGACGGACAAAATCAATGTCCAAAAAGCAACTGCAGGCCCCCGAGTCAATGATTGCAGTGGTCTTCACAGTTCTTTCCGGAAGCTGAAAAAAGAGGGGTACTGCTAAGTAACTGGATTGACTCATATTACCCAGGGAACAAAAAGGAACTGTAGTTCTCGACTTACGTGCTTTCACCGGGCAGTTCCGCACGACATGTCCAGTTCCTCCACAGTAGAAACAGAGGTTCCTGGTGCGTCTTCTCTGGCGCTCCTCTGGGGTGAGGGCCTGCCGAGCCAATCCCAGCTGCATGGGCTCTGATGTATCCACAGAAATGGCTGGTGGAACATCGGTAGGGGCGAGATGACCTGTGCCCCTGGGAGGTGACCATGTGACTCCTTGACCCTGGCCTGACCTCTCAGACCGGCGTTCCCGCAACCTGCGATCGATTTGGATCGCCAGGGTGATCAGATCTTCCAAGGACTCTGGGAGGCCAACCCGGGCTAACTCATCTTTTAGCGCCTCCGAGAGTCCGACCCGGAATTGGTGACGCAGGGCAGCGTCGTTCCAACGCGTGTCCCCCATCCATCGCCTGAACTCGGAGGCATATTCCTCCGCAGCTCGACGACCCTGTCGGAGGGAGTAGAGGGTGGATTCAGCTGAAGCCACCCGCTGGGGGTCATCATAGAGGACAGACATGGCCTCAAAAAATGTGTTTATGGTCTGTAACTGGGGGTCCTGTGTTTCCCTTAATCTATGGGCCCAGTCCTGGAGGTTCATCTTGTAATAGGGAAATCACGAATCCTACTTTAACCGACTCAGTGGTGAAGGTACGAGGTTGCAGGTCAAAATACAGCAGACATGCATTTTTGAAAGACCTAAACTGTGCACGATCTCCCCGAAAACGTTCAGGCATGGGAACACGAGGTTCGGCTGGTGAAGCTGCAGCCGCAGCCCCTATGGGAGATCCAGAGGCTACCTCAGAGCTAACAGTTGAGGCCTGGCTTTGAGGAGGAGCCTCAGACACGGTCATGGTGTCAAACCGATTTTCTAACCGGTAGCATTTATCCTGGAGGGCAGTTACTGCCTGGGTTAGGGCGGACAAATGTCGGCAAATCTCTTCTATGGGAGAAGGCCTCCCTCCAGACTCAGTCATGGCCGAATGGTACTGTGACGGACCGCCTGACAGTACCTCTATCAGTCCCCTGATAGAGCCTCCCCAGAGTGCGGAGGTAACGGAGCACTTGTTCACCAGGGCCGCTGATGGTGGGGATGGACTTGGAGCGCTCCGGGACCAGGTCGCAGCTGCTAGGTATCTCTATCAGAGGTAGAGGAGTCTGCCAAGGGCTCCAGCGGGTTAAGAGTCTGATGTGAGGGAGCCCAGGGATCCCTGAGGGATGGATGGACGGATGAGCAAAGTCAGAGTCAAACAAGCCGGGTCGATAACTAGCGGGTCGGTGAGGTACAAGACGATAGGCAAAGCATAGTGGGGTCACACACAGGGTCAATACCAAAAGATCAGATCTATAAGGGAACATCCAGGAGCAGAGTCAGGCAAGCCAAGGGGTCAGGACAGGAGAAGGCAACAAGGTCAGACAATCCAGATCAGAGTATTCACAACACAGGCAACAGGATACAAAAGACCATTCGGCAACAAGTGTCTGTGCAGGGCTGGTTTATGTAGCCCGCCCTGCACCTGACAGGCGCAGCCTAGGTCCTAGTGCCTGCCTAGTACTGTCAAGACGACGGGTGCGCCTGGGTCCTAGTGCCCTGCTACCTGCACGTCTTGGCAGACACTTACGCATGTGTAGACCCATGCATCGCGATGGTCCCTGACACACAATGACTAAGTGCAATGCAGAAATCCATTGTCTATGCTCTCCAGGACTTTCTATCCTAAATGAAATCCCTCTTGCCTCGCCCGGGCTTCTCACTCTACTCCTCACTCAAGCATTACTAAAGGATATTAGATTGAAAATCATTTTATAGTTATCTTCTTTACAAACTGAACTAACAGTTTCAGAAAAAAGATCACGAAGACCTGGAGCCCATTATGGGCAGGTAGAGTTTTTTTTTTTAATGACATGGATTTGCTTGATGCTTCCCAGACCTTACTGGATCTGGTTCCCCATGGATAACACAATGACTAAGGGGGTCTTCATCTATCTTGTTCCTCAATCCCACAAAAGGAAGAGCACAGCAGGTTCTTAGATTCCATTGGAGCTGGTTCACAAGAACAGAAGTTCCAATCTCCATTGTCTGTAGAGGGAGTCAGCAACCAGTAGATCTTAGCCAGGTGACTGGTAAATTGCGATGTGGGCTTGCTGACCCGCCATCCCAGAACATCAAGCAGAGTGCAATGCAGAGGAACTGCTAAAACTGGAGCTGTAGTAGCTGGAGAAAAATCTCCATTGTCTATGGTCTCAGGACTTTCTATCCTAAATGAGATACCTCTTGCCTCACCCGTGCTTCCCACTCTACTCCTCACTCAAGCATTACTAAAGGATATTAGATTGAAAATCAATTTATAGTTATCTTCTTTACAAACTGAACTAATGGTTTCAGAAAAAAGATCACGAAGACCTGGAGCCCATTATTGGCAGGTAGAGTTTTTTAAAATGACATGGATTTGCTTGATGCCTTTTAGACCTTACTGGATCTGGTTCCTCAGGGATTAAAAAATGATTAAGGGGTCTTCATCTATCTTTTTCCTTAATCAGATAAAAGGAGGATCTTCGACGCCATTGCAGTTGGTTCACAAGAACCGAGCTCCAATTTCCATTGTCTATGGTTTCCAGGACCCTCTATCTTAAACGTTGATGCCTCTTAGCTCACCTGGTCTTCCCACTCTACTCCTCACTCAACCATTACTAAAGGATATTAGATTGAAAATCAATTTATAGTTATCTTCTTTACAAACTGGACTAATGGTTTCTAGAGGGTTTTTCTTGTATGAATGAGGAGAGTCCCCAGATAATGGTTTCTGTGATTAGAATTTGTTCCAGGTTTGGAGTGAAGGAGACCATTGAAATTATGTGAAAATAATCGATCAATATAAGGAATATAATTTATGAATGCTAGCTTTCTACTGTACTATCTCCTAATAAGGGCATAAATATATGAAAGAACAATATTTTAACCACCTCCCACCTGCCATATAAGGTAATGACGGGCACAAGGGGGTTCTCTCATTTTAGGAGGACGTCATATGACCTCCCACCCACGGGGGCAGCAGCGGCGATCGGTGGTGCGCTGTGTCCCTGGGACACAGCGGATCACAATCAATGGAAAGAGCTGATGTCATCAGCTCTGCCATGTGATCAGCTGTGTCCAATCACGGCTGATCTCATGTAATAAGGAAATGCCGGTTATCGGCATTCCTCTCCTCCCGCTGACAGCTCGTGAGAAGAGCCGGTAATTGGCATTCCTCAGAGGGGATATGTACACTGATGATCAGGACACCTGATGATCAGTGTGCCCTGATGATCAGTGTAGCCCCAGCAGTGCCACTTGTCAGTGCCCATCAATGTCACCTGTCAGTGTCCATCAGTGCACATCAATGCCACATATCAGTGCGCATCAGTGCCGCCTATCAGTGCCGCATATCAGTGCCGCCCTATTAGTGCTGCCTAACTAACAGTGCCAGTCAGTGCCACCTATCAGTGTCAGTCAGTGCCGCCTATCAGTGCAATATATGAGTGCTGCCTTTCGGTGCCCATCAGTGATGCCTGTCAATGCCCATCAGTGCCACCTACCAGTGCCTCCTCTTTAGTGCCCATCAGTGCCACCTATCAGTGCCCATCAGTGCAGCCTATCAGTGCCATATATGAGTGCTGCCTTTCGTTGCCCATCAGTGAAGCCTGTCAATGCCCATCAGTGCCACCTACAGTGCCTCCCTATCAGTGCCCATCAGTGCCACCTATCAGTGTCCATCAGTGCAGCCTATCAGTGCAACCTCATTAGCGCACATCAGTGAAGGAGAAAAATCACTTATTTACAAAATTGTATAACAGAAACTAAGAAAAAAAAATGTTTTTCAACATTTTCAGTTGTTTTTGGTTTATTTTGCAAAAAATAAAAATCCCAGTGATGAATAAATAACACCAAAATAAAGTTTTATCTGTTTTAAAAAAATGCTAAAAATTTCATATGGGTACAGTGTTGCATGACCGGGCAATTGTCTTTCAAAATGCGACAGCGCTGAAAGCTGAAAATTGGCTTGGGCAGGAAGGGGGGTATGCCCTGTAGGCAAATGGTTAAGTATGGGGTGGAGCCTCGCCATGTGACGTCGTTGCGCTCTGGAGGGACGGTGGCCATCTTGTCGGTTAGAAACATCCTGTTTTACCATGCTGGTTGTCTTATTCACTGATGTACGTGGAACCTAAATAAATGTATTGAATTCGATTTTAAATACTACACTACGAGTTTCCTTTCCTCTTTATTCATTCCCTGACCATCGGACGGGAGTTTCTACCATTTGGAGGTTTATTGAAGGTGAAGAAGTTACTTACTATTCTGGAGGGGATCTCTACTGAGGATCGATTGCTGTACTGATGTTATATCACGCTGCGCATGTTGACCGACCTTTGAGCGGTCAAATTGTCTGGTAAGAGGCCAATCTGTTTTGGTGTATGGTGACGGCTTTTTGGATCAAACTTTTCCTTGTATGCACATGCTTCCATTCATTTGGGAATATACTTGGACTTTATTGTATTTAAAGTGATATTAGATTATTATATAATTTTGAATTGATTAATTTACCATATATTTTAAGTATAAATACTGTATATTAGCATATCAATAATATTTCCTAATAAGGGAAAGATATTTAGAATGAGCTTAATAAAAGGTTTATCAAAATTGTAAAAAATTATTTTCTGGGCACAACGATAAAATTTCTCTGGCTTGCTTCATTATGTTTTTAATAATCGTACAATTATGATTGTGAAATGCGTACAATAGCCGGTTTGATTCTAGGTTCGCCACTTTTAATATTCTCCGTTTTGAATTTTGTGAATCAATTTGAATTTTCACATTCATTGTGCGAAATAAATCATTATGGGAAAAATAATAGGAGGAACCTTGGCAGCTTTTAAAAATAAAATAAAACAGAGGAGTCATTTATACTTTACCTGAAAGCTGAATACCGAGGATTCTTTCCTTATAAATAATTATAATAGGATGAATAATATAATAAAGATATTCCAGCGTATACCTACCAGGGAGGTCAGTTGGTGCTGAGAATGTAGACAGATGGAAGACTTCAGCGGAGGTCTAATCTACGAAGAACGGGGTCGGCTTATATAATAGAAGATGAAGAAGTTAAGAACACAGAAGGTTTAATTAAAGTTTGAGGTAATAATAGTCACATCTTTCTCAAGAACACATAACTGATGTCACATGAAGTTTTTAAAATATTTACCTCCTAGCCTCCAGGTGGGACAATATCAGCACCCAAGAAGCATTCCAACTATCTCCTGATCTTCTATTTAGTTTTATTCTAAAATCAATTTAAGTGGAATTCCAGCCCAATTTATTGTTCTGGTTTACACAGCATAGAGTCATTTTCGGCCGTTATTTACTCCCATTTCACTTAAAACAAAGTGACCAGACTTTCACAGTTTAAAGAGAGGAAGAAAACACTGTTGCACAGTAGGATCCTGGGATTTTGCTAAAGTTTTTTTTTTTCATACTGGCAGCTTTTAGAAACTATTTGCCTTTCCATGTTAATTTATAGTTTGCCCAGCTTTCTGAAGTATAACTTTTACTACTGTTTTATACCAGCTGTATACATATGTGACAGCACTGCAGTGGGCTTTAATATCATACCCACATGAAAGAAAAATATATTTTAAATATATTTTAAAAATGTTCTTCCCAAATATATTGACATATATTTGAAATACTACAATTTTGGCCATAATCAATATATTTCAATATATATATACTGTATGTTGAAAAATACATTTCAAATATACTGTATGTCTTTAAAAATACAAATCTACATTTTTGGAATGCATTTACAAGTATATGTAAAAATATATGTTAAAATGACTTTTTTATATGTTAAAAAAAAATCTGAAGACTATATTTAAAAATATATATGGTGAGTCTAAGACATTTTCTCGCAAAAAATACTAGAATTTTCTATTAGATAAGCAAAACACAAAATATAAAACATAAATTAGATAAAGGTATAGTAGAAACAAAAAAAATGTACTTATGACAGTAAATGGAGTAATTCAAATCTTTAGACAATATGAATATCCTCCTGCGCTCCACAGAATGCCTAAATATAGCTAGCTGCTATCATCTATACGACACAGAAAAATTATATTAAATACTGGATGAAGCGCTCTGCTATAAGCGTACTATACACAAAACCAAATAATTTTATGCAAATATATATAACAAAAAGAACAAAGTGACTAGTGCTTAAATAATATTAAATGTGTAAACCAAATAAAATCAGTCTGCCCCCAAGTGGCTAAAACTGGTTATACAAGTGCACACACAACTTATGTAAAAGTGACCAAGTGCTTACTTAAGTACATTGTCTATTAAAAAATAAATCAATAAATAAAAATCACAGTGAATAATCTCAAAAGTGCCAAGTGTTGAAATACAATCAATATACGAATTATATCATCATGTGCAAAATCATACTATCACTCTTCTGTGATAAATAAATATTGGTATATAAATAAGTGCTTCTTCATCAACCACTTCAAAATTGTGCTCAGACAAAGGTGTCACTCTAGTGCATCAATCCTCAAATATCCAGAGTGCCTCCTCACTTCCAACATTCGACCCCTAGTGGTCACAGATCATATACTTAAATGATGTTCCAGACCAATACCAGGCTATACCTTGTTCCCAGGAAAAGATATGTTAATGACCAGTCACACCTCAAATTCCACATGAAGACCCCCTGCCAGCCGACATTAATGACTCACACCGCCAGGCACCTTTCCCACCCTTGGAAACAAAAGAAATGTTAAAAAGCAACTCACACCTCAGCTAACCTCCTTAGCGGTATTCCCGAGTGTAGCTCGGGGTAACATTTCAGTACCACAAACGGTAACCCCGAGCTACACTCGGGCTTACCATGCGGCACTGCTCCGGCATGTGTTCTTCACTTACCTTACCCAGCGCTCCCACGATGTGTCCCCTGCAGGGTCCCCGGCCATCTCCTCCGGCCGATGCCGGCATCCGGCTTCTGTGTCCTGTCCCTGTGACGTCGGGACGTACGGGCGCCGCAGGCGGCGGGAAATTTAAAAATTTTAAAAAATGTCTTTTTTTTTTTTTTTAACATTTTACATAGTAAAACATTGCTGTCTCAACCAATTTCACATACATTTTGTCCTGAGTGCTTTGTCCGGCGCCCTGCCTGCATTTTGTCTGTTCTTTCTGCCTGGAAACTGAGAAACGTCCATGGCGTCCAAAAAGTGTCCCTTTAGGTCAAAAGCGGTTTAGATCAGCTAGAGAACAGCGATAGTAAATCAGAACCACTTGCAGAATTGAGTGATAATGATTCGTGGGGGAAATTCGTCATCAGACACTGAAAACGATTCTGCGACTGAGCTCAGCAATGTGCGAACTTGGCGCTATATTTCAAATTTCAGTGTTTTTGGTTTGATTATATTATTGAATTAAATTTTTTATTATTTTTTATATTATTTTTATGATTATTTATTAAATTATAATTTATGATTTTGTGTTTCAAATTTTATCATACCCGGGATGTTTACTAGACTCTTGTTCGGACAGATTTCAGTGAGTTTTTCCTAAAAATTACAGCCTACAATTAAAAAAATACATATTTCCATGCAAAAAAATGGTACCGCTTTCAGCACCAAAAATCTGAAATAATCATACCGCCAGGGAGGCTAATCTCAATACATACTGCTGTCTCTGCTTCTATTCTCTGTATTTCTCTGAAACAGTCTGAAATAGTTCATAATTTACCACTTTTCAGTGCATTCTGGGCATTTGGGAGGTTCTCCTGTGCTTATCTTTTAAAAAACGCTTCTAAACGCAAAATGTGCATAAACGCAGTATGCAAACGCGGCTAAACAGACGCTTTTTAACCTACGTTTTCCAGCAGTCAGTCGTTCAGAAATGTCCCGCGTACATGGAGCCTAAATGTACGCCGGTGACGTTTATTAATACCACCTATTATTTCTATCTGAAGTCATTCCTTTCTTAGTGTGATTTCAGTCTGACACATAGTAAGCTGCTTTTATTTGTCCAAATATTTCCATAAGGCAGAGCGTGTTGACAGGTGATCAAAGCCTGAAAACATTTGGATGAAACTGAATTCCCACCAATACACCTTTATGAACCACTTCTCATGCGTGGCTCCTAGAGAGTATACAGCGGCGCACTCTGTGATTGCTGAGCCCCTCAGACACAGTGGATCACCAGTTAACTTGACCCTCTACCAGGTGATCACTGTGATAAATCACAAAGCACGCAGCCTTTGAGCCATTCCCCCTCACAGCGATTGGCTGTGTTCATCCAGAAGTTGCTTTATTCTGTACATGTGACAACAGGATACAGCAGAATGAATGGTTTCCAGTATTATGCGGTCAAAAGATGATACTTTCTGTAGCGTACTATGCAGAATACATGTGTCCCTGTTACATGTGGACTGTTAGCTGCATCCATGACACAGGAAGTGCTGAACTCATAAAGAAGGGAGGAGCTTCATATGCAAAGGAATTG